GCCCCGGTGTGCTCGCTGGACGGGCTGGTACCGCACCGGGGTGCGGAGCCCTGCGCTCCCCGCCTGTGCCCGCAGCCCGTGTCCGGGGCCGGACGGATCCAGCGCTGAGCTCCTCAGCCAGTTCCCTTTGCAGGCAGGTACGTGGGCTGGCAAAGTCTGTGCTTGAAAATATGTCAGAGGCACAGGTGGATAATCGAAGCAGGTGTTGGTTCCAGCAGTAGGGGCCGTGTCCTTGAAAGGTCAAAGAACGGCTCCATTCAGGCTGCTGCTGAACATTCTCACCTGTACCGAGCTGCGGTGGTCAGAGGTTGTCTCTGGGTCTCGCTGCATCTGTGTTCTGCTGCTGGAGCAGTCCAGAGCAGCCCATATAACTCACACATGAAATTATTTGAATTAGTTCATCAATTTAAACCCTGTAAATGAATACAGTTCAGCTGGGGAGCCCTTGTGCTCTCAGCTTAGTGTCTGATCTCTTCCTGCTGCTGTGTTCTCACCATTTGGATTCAGATCACCCTGAAGTGGCACAGCTTTGCCCATTTTTTTACTGAACCGTTAAACACTCTTTTGGGACAAAAGACCTGGGCTGGCCACTGATCTCCTTGGAGTCTGAGTACTCTGACCAGTTTTCTAGTACAGACTGGGCAGTATTTAATGTGTATGTAGCTATAAAAGTGCACGTAAGTCTGATAAATCTTTTTCTTCCACCAAGCTTGCAGTCCGTTTATTCAGACAGCCAGATGTTACGCCAGACCTGTGAGAAGAAAGAGGAAAGGTATGTCAGGATTGATGGGACCGTGTTGCGAGATATTTTAAGTTTTATTTTTTATATTTTTTTTTTTTATATTTATATATTTTAAGACATTATCAGAGTTGTACCCTAATGCCGCAGGAAGAGAGGGTATTTGGAGAAATCAGTGGGTTTCACTTTAAAAGTGCAGATAAGCACTCATCATGAGAAGAGAGAGGAAGTACAATCCCTGTTGCAGGGCAGCTTCTTCATGGGTAATTATAAGGGTGAGGGAGCCAGACTCTTCCTGGTAGTGCCAATGGTACAATGAGGGGCAGTGATCCCAAATAGCAGCTTGGAGATGTTCCAGCTGGACACAAAAGGAAACAGGATTCACTGGGAAGGCAATGCAGCGTGGGAACAAGCTTCACAGAGGGGCTGTGGAATATCCATCCTCAGAGGTTTTCAAGGATTTGCTAGACAAAGAAATGGTGACAGTCCCACTCCAAGGGGGAGATTGTACTAGAAACTTCATAAGATCCCTTTGTCAACCCTTTTGTCATTCTGTGGTTCTAGAAATAATTTTTTCTAAGCTCAAAAGTTACTCAGAAAATTCAGCAGCTCATGAATCTGTGGGAAACTAGCAGTTGTAATTGGCAAGAGATCACTGATCTCGGACTGAACACCATGCTGTAAATCCAGAGTGCTGAAGGGAAGAGACTGGACCCAATTTGATTCACTCAATCCTGCCGTCTCAGCTTGATCTCTTAAGTTCTTTCTTCCTGTTTGGAGCATACAATCTATTCTCTTTGCAGCTTGTTTTCTCTGATCTAGTTTGCAAGCACGGTCAGAGCGCTGACTTTGTGGTGCTATTCCTCAGATGTTCATCTTCTCTTTGTAGAGATCCCCAGCCATTTGGATGATCTCCCTCCAACAATGCTGAAGAAAGATTATGCCAATGTCCCAATTGTAAATAGGTATGATACAGGGAAAGGGAATGACTGTTCTCTTCTGAGATTTAGAAATAATTCTGAAATACTAGAAATAAACTTGAACTCAGGTGCTAGAGTGTGTAGTTAAACAACTCAAAATGAATGTCTGCTTCTGAAGTTTGCACCTGGAGTTGAGCATTTTTACGCTTTGATTCCAGAGCAGCTCATGTGTGGTGCATGGAGAGTCCCCAGTGGCGTAACTGAGACTTTCACAGATCTTGGAAGGAGCCAGTCCTAAAATTATTTTCTCCTTGTGCACTTACTTGACGGTTAAACTTCAGCACCCAGTTTGCACATAATGTTGTTTTTGGAATGGATAAGACTTCATCGTGATTTGAAACAATGCGGCTTCCCACAGCAGCAAAACTACCTGATGCTTCTGTAATTTCAGCTGTGATTTTTCTTAGGAATGCAAGAAACAGTCTATGGCTGACAGGTTTGGGAAGGGAGGAGAGTTGCTGTACATCTGTAGAACAGAAGTTGAGAAAAGTTAATGTGTTATGAAAACCTAAGCTCGATTCTGTTGCTAAATATTCTTTGTTTCTAGTTTATAAACTAATCTGCAATCTCCTTGCAGTGTTGATGATGTAGTGAGAAGGCTGTTGTCACTGGAGATGGCAAGCCAGGTTAGTTCTGTTCTACTTGCATAAAAAATGACAAGATTTAGTGAGCACGTTTGTGTAAGACATGTATATTGTTAAATGCCCTTCACTTTATTTTGAAGTGTTGCTCAGTGACTGCAAATGTAGGGCTGTTAAATACATGATGGTGGTAAGTTCTGTATGCTCTTAAAATTTATCACGCAGTTTTCTTTACGATAATAATTGCATACTAAAATGAGAGAAGAAAGTATCAGGCAGTCCCGGGGGAGATGAGCTGTGTTGTGTTACTGCTGATGGTTCCAGAAAACAGCACACTGGGCAGCAGATGTTCTTCACACAACTTTTACTTTTTGTGTGCCCAGAAAATGAAGTACACAAATTGTAAAGTAGCACAAAGATCTTGCTGTTTCTTGCTGCTTACCACTTGGGCTTAAAAAGCCGTGTAAAGGCTGCTGCCGTGGGAGATCGGCTTCAGCTCTCTCTCCCATTCATGAGAGCAGCGGGGCCTCTCCAACGCCCTTCTTTTGTAATCGTGGGAAGAAGGGTGTGCCTGGACTCTCGGTTTGAACAATGGCGATTCTGTGTTCTGCTGAGATCTTTTTGTGCTGCTTCCCTGCTGTACTGTCCTGCAAGCAGCGGGTCCTTTTTTGCAGCACTTTTTACACATTTTGTGATGGACACTGAGCAAAGCTATTAATTAAAAAGCCTTTATCTGGGCATTTGGGAAGCGAGCTGCGGTGTCTTAGCCCCATAGTGTTCCTGAGAAAGCAACAAGCTCTTTTCTGTTATCCACAGAAGGAGAAGATGAAAGTAAAGACACAGCAGCTGGTGGAGAAGGTCAGGAGGTCTCCCAGTGACAACGGCTCCTTTGAGGTGCAAGGTAAGTTAGGACAGCAGAAGCACATTGTTGGCAGATGGTAAACCTCTGCTTTTGTGCAGCTGTTCCCACCCCAGCACTTCGAGTTTCCTCTGTCAGCTGGGAGAATCTCTTTCAGGAGAGCAGCTGAGCGGCAGGTGCCTGCGGGGTGCCCTGTGCGGGGTTTGGGAACGTTACAGAGGCAGCGTGTGTGCTCACTGGCAGATGGCTGCTCGAGCAATTTCCAAATTCCTGCTCCATATCCGCCCTCCAAGGGCAGCGTGTGCATTATCATGCTCGAAGTGCGTGTGACATCAAGTGCTGCACTGCGTTCATTACCAAAATGAACTGCTGGATTGAGCCACGGAACCCACATCTCCCTCTGCATCGGCCACGCTGCCGATGTTGACGCAGTTGATGCACTCCTTTATCACTAATAAAGGCCTTCAGTTTCTCAGGATGCCACGAGCACCTTTCTCCAAAGCCTGAAGCCACAAAGCACTGGCTGCTGCTCTTAGAAAGAGCCTCTTGATCTGTGTCTGTTCCTCCAAAGCTTAAACCAGGTGAAGTGAAATGAATATCAAGTCACCAGTAATGAAGCGAGCGCAAGAGGCATTTTACAGAGAAATTAATTTGATCTGCTGTTCAAATTTTAACCTCTAATTAAGCAGCTTCATTACAGTAGTAGTCCTCTGGTTTACGTAGGTTGTGTTTGGTGCTTTGTTCAGTGCTGGCTGTGGTGCTGTGGGTCGCCAGCAGAACAGCAGTCCTCACCTGGCAATTAGAAGCGAATGCAAATGATTCCGTCTCACCCTGGCAAGCTGCTGCTCTCACACGGCTTCTTGTGTCTGTTCTTTATAGTTGCGATACTGACTGCCAAGATACGCACTTACGAGGAACATCTCCAGAGGCATCCCAAGGTAACCATCGGGGATCTGAGCCCACGCGTCTGAGACAGCAGCTGTTCGGGTTGTTTTCTCAGTTCAGAGCAAAAGGATTTTAATTCAGGGGATTATGGCTTTCCTACGAAGGTTTAGAGTAGTTATAACTGTTCTCTGGTGCCAGTCTGGGAAACGCTCAGTCACAGCAATGTTCTCACCGACTGAAATGTGGAGTCTGTTCCTTTTTGTGCCTGGGTTGGTGGAAATGCCTGAGCAGATACCTTTGAATGAGTTCAGCTAAATTTATCGTTGCTGCAGATGTGGCTTCACCACTTAGTTCACTGTGTTCTGCCTCTGAAAGTGTTTAGTGGATGGGACTGTGGTAATGTCATAATGACCCCATCCTAAAGCTACCTGGGTTCAGAGCCCAAATTTCAAACATCACAGCTATGAGTTTATGAACAAGATAAATCAAAGATTCTTTATGCAGTGCAAAAGGTGGGAAGTGGATTAAGCAACTGCATTTGAAAAAGTGGATAATTATTAACCATAAGAGCTTGAAGGGTAAAATGGAGGATAATTCAGTTTTTGTAAGAAGCCAGAAGTTACTTGGATGAAGCCTGCTTTTTATGCAAATTGCTGGTAGGGGATAGGGACAGTTCTCCCATGGGGGCTTGCCCCGAATGGCATGGCTCAAGCTACACATATTCTCTTCCAAATAACCCAAGTGGTCAGATAGAGCCAAGTCACATTTTATTTTCACATTTAATTTCTGGAAAAACAAAGCTAAATGTGTCTGTGTCATTTCTGGAAGAACAGATTTCAGGGGAAGCAGAGTTTTATTTGTCTCCAAGCCGTTGCAGCTTTTGCCACCACCTGAAACTGTGCACGAGTTGACAACAGTCTTCAGGGCCGGGGGAGGAAGGTGCAGACACAGAATGAAGAAAGTAATTTCAGGGAAAAGTAAATTAAGTCTTCTCCGATCTCCTTGTAGTGACCTAACGTGCTTGCAGTATCTGCCAAGACAAATTGTTCCAAGATACTGTCCTTAACCTGATTGTTTCCTTTCAGCCATAATCTGCTCTATTCTCAGTAATTTATTGGAATGGAAGTGTAGTCTTCTGCAGCATAGTGAACGTTAAGTCCTTTGCAGGATAAAAATAACCGTCGTCGCATGCTGATGGCTATAGATCGCCGGAAGAAACTCCTTGCATATCTTCGCCGTGTTCGCTATGATACCTTTGAAAACACCTGCAAGCAGCTGAACATCCAGTACACCCTCCCCCCTGCCTACAACAGGAGGATCACCAAGCGCTTGGCCGTGAAGAAGGCGTTCTGTCTCAAGGTACAGAGAGAGCGCCACGTAGGTGGAGGAGGAAAAAATCTCTTTATAGAAGGGCACGATAAAGACAGTTACAAAAGACCGATAGGGAAGTGCTTTTCACCCATGCTTTGAATTTGAGGAAACAGTGGTAATGTCTGTAGAGAAGTACATAAACTCAACAAGGAGCTCCATGAAAGGTGGTTAAGCAGCAGGCAGTAACGCACGTGCTGCCGTTGTTCTGTGCTTGAGAACGTCAGACTGTGCTGACAGTTTGCTCAGAAACGTATGGTTCAAACCAGCCTGATATGGGAACTGATACATGAGGGTATTAATGTGATGGCAGCTTTGGAACAGAAGTGTGGGTACGCCCGTTGTCTGCTCCCATTTGCTCTAAACACAGCGGTGTAACGGCTGCGTGCAGTACAACTGAGCAGAATCAGAGCTGCCTGTGCCTTTGGTCTGTGAATACTGAATTTCAGTCCAGTGAAATTATAACCAAAAAGTCTGGGTAGCTGTGACAGTACCTCCGAACGGCAGCCTGGAAGCAGGGCTGGCAGGAGTCCTGGAGGAAGTGTGCAGGAAGGAGTTGGTGTTGCTGCACAGCTGCCTCCCGGCCACTGTCGCAGGACAGCGGCTCCGTGCGGGTGCAGCAGCGACCGGCGGTGGGGGAGCAGCTCCACTCAGCAGCGGGCGGCTGCGTCTCTCCCTTCTCTCACCTCCTCCTGTTCCTCCCGCAGGTTTTTCAGGAGGTGCGGAAGCTGAAAGCAGCGGAGAGGCTAAAGCAGAGAAGAGAGTGGAAAGAAAGAGCGAGAGCTGCGAAGGAGAAACAGGCGCAGCGTGAGGGGACGCCTGTGTAGCGGCACGGGGCTGTGTCACCCCTCTGTAACAATAAATAACTGCCTGAGGACG